AATATTAATAAATATATATATATATATATATATATATGTAACCGGTCGGAATTTGCTGGACTTTAATTTCTCACTTTGACTTGGGGGTTTATTAAAATTTAATAGATGGTAAAGGCAGTGAAGCGCCCTTTGAGAAAAATCCTGAACCAGCACAAGAACACTTAAATCTACTACACAAAATGAACTGTCCGTACCTGTGGAAGGATAGCTCAGACTGGGATGAATGAGACACACTGTAAAATTTAGACACTTAAATTCTCTCCAACACTACAAACACAATCAAATAATGGTACACCAATATGCGCACCTCTTAACTTAAACTTAAAACACTACTCTGGGGAATAAAAGTTATAAATGACATAGAAATTATTAGAAACACAGGCAACAATAAATTTGAAGTATTAATAAATGTTGCTTGCACACATGAAACAGGCCTCTTAAGGGCTTTCACAAAATAATATCAGTCACTTAGGAAATGGTATTAAAATAAGAAATTAACTACTCTACAATGAATAGGCCTTAAGGGCTTTCAACAAAATTATAGCACCCCAACAGATGTACACTCTAACCTAACCTAACCACTACTCTGGGGAACAAGGTTATACCTGAGATCAGAATTATGAAGAACAATTAGAGGCATTAAAAGAATCAAATCACAGTATCACTCTGGTTCCACTTAATGGCACAAACATTCAAAAAACACTACTATCAAAAATTATTAAGAAATATTAAACTACACACGTCAAGATAATATCAGTCTGAGGAATGGTGTTAACTACACCCGTAATAAGGAAGATAAAATGTCTTCTAGGTATCTCCTAGAATCCTAGACTCACGGTCTCAGTGTGTACCATTAATATACTCAGATAGCCCCAGTGTACCCCAGTGCGTCCATGGGCAGGAAAGAGTGAGCCAATCAGACCCTGTGCAGTTGAGAGATGTAGCTTCCTGTTAGCAAGAGGGTTTTCACTAAGCGGCTCTGGACATGTGGTGTTGTGAGCCGACGTCAGCTGAGCACCCAGACGGCTAGATTTCAAGAGATCCTTGGTACCCCTTAAACAGTGACAGGCCCACTCTGATCGGTCCAATGGCGACAATCGCCACCTCAATCATCAACGGCAGTCTCAAACGGCAGTCAATCTCGCAGTCAACTCCGGTCAACTCCAATCAACTCCGGTCAAGTGGGTTCTGACGGAACCCTGAAATGAACTCACTGTTAGCTCTAGTTAACTTTACCACTGCCCTATCTAACCCTGTCTGAGATCGAATGAGACTTACTTGTTATACTGCAATAGCGCACAGGTGACTAGGCCACGTGACTATTTCTGATGGACGCGCGAACGTCTTGTCTGTGTGACTGTTTCCGACTGGGCTAGCCAGCGTCGTGTCTCCCCAAGGCGCTAGCTTGGGCCTACGATATATTTACCGCCTAACTAATAACCTTGGGACACCCGTAACATTATTCAGACTGCTAAACGATCTATAATAATTTCAAATTCAATAATAGTCCCTTAACTTCATGAATCGCATTATTAATTCGGTAAATCACATTCAAATCATATAGGCCTAGTTCCGCAGTCTCTCGCTACGAGCAGGCAGCGCTCCCTCAGATGACCCTTGAACGCTCAGTATCACTCATGGCGGGGCATTTGAAATTACTCTGAAATTTCTGAATATTACATATATATATATCTCAGGGTCATAACTTTAGCAACTGTTTGGCGCCGTCACCTTATTGATTCATCTCTCTCGTAGGTCCTCCCCCGTCAGGAAAGATGTCTTGGTGCCCCTGAAACAGAGTACTACAGGCCATATTTATTTTTTGGCGTCCTGGTGTAAACAAGACTATTGGTATTGTCAGTGTGTGTTATTCAAGGGACATTTCTTGCACCTTCTACAGGATATTTTCAGTGTGTTTATTCAAGGGATATTTCCTCCTCCTCCTCTTTCAGGCACGCCGTTGGCCAGGGTGGTGTGGCTACAGGACGGACACGAGGTAGACAGGAACAGCTCGGCGGGGGAGGGAGGAACCTCCTACAATAACTTGGAGGTGCCCGCCTCAAGGAAGGACCTCACCTCCCCCTTCACCTGTCGTGCCACCAATAATGACGTCACTCCCCCTCTGGTTGCCAACTATCAACGGGATGTGAACTGTAAGCTAATTAATTTTTTTCCATATACTGTACAGTGAAACCTCCATATAACGGACTTTGTTTAGATATATAATCCGTTAGAATAGGGGTTTCACAACGGACCCTCGATATAACGGACTTTCATATCGATATAGTACATTAAATGGAGGTTTCACATCTAACGGACCCTTGATAAAACGGACTTTCATCTCGATATAGTTCATTAAATGGGGGTTTCATAATTAATGTACCTCGATATAACGCACTTTCATTGCCATACAGCCCGTTAAATAAAGGTTTGACTGTAGATGTTTATTAATACCTACTTTACCTTTAGTGCTTGTATGTATGTTAAACACCTTTTGTCTATGTAGTGAAGAATAGTGTGTGTATGTATGTAGTGAAGAATAGTGTGTGTGTGTGTGTATGTAGTGAAGAATAGTGTGTATGTATGTAGTGAAGAATAGTGTGTGTGTATGTAGTGAAGAATAGTGTGTGTATGTATGTAGTGAAGAATATGTGTGTATGTATGTAGTGAAGAATAGTGTGTGTATGTATGTAGAAGAATAGTGTGTGTATGTATGTAGTGAAGAATAGTGTGTGTGTGTATGTAGTGAAGAATAGTGTATGTATGTAGTGAAGAATAGTGTGTGTGTATGTATGTAGTGAAGAATAGTGTGTGTGTATGTGGTGAAGAATAGTGTGTATGTATGTAGTGAAGAATAGTGTGTATGTAAGTAGTGAAGAATAGTGTGTGTGTATGTAGAAGAATAGTGTGTGTGTATGTATGTAGTGAAGAATAGTGTGTGTGTGTGTATGTAGTGAAGAATAGTGTGTGTGTATGTATGTAGTGAAGAATAGTGTGTGTATGTATGTAGTGAAGAATAGTGTGTGTATGTATAGTGAAGAATAGTGTGTGTGTGTGTATGTAGTGAAGAATAGTGTGTATGTATGTAGTGAAGAATAGTGTGTGTATGTATGTAGTGAAGAATAGTGTGTGTATGTAGTTAAGAATAGTGTGTGTATGTAGTGAAGAATAGTGTGTGTGTGTGTGTATGTAGTGAAGAATAGTGTGTGTGTGTGTATGTAGTGAAGAATAGTGTGTGTATGTATGTAGTGAAGAATAGTGTGTGTGTGTATGTAGTGAAGAATAGTGTGTGTATGTAGTGAAGAATAGTGTGTGTATGATGTAGTGAAGAATAGTGTGTGTGTGTATGTGGTGAAGAATAGTGTGTATGTATGTAGTGAAGAATAGTGTATGTAAGTAGTGAAGAATAGTGTGTGTGTATGTAGTGAAGAATAGTGTGTATGTATGTAGTGAAGAATAGTGTGTGTGTGTGTATGTAGTGAAGAATAGTGTGTGTGTGTGTAGTGAAGAATAGTGTGTGTATGTATGTAGTGGAAATAGTGTGTATGTGTGTGAAGAATAGTGTGTGTGTGTATGTAGTGAAGAATAGTGTGTGTATTTATGTAGTGAAGAATAGTGTGTGTATGTATGTAGTGATGAATAGTGTGTATGTAGTTAAGAATAGTGTGTGTGTGTGTGGTGAAGAATAGTGTGTGTGTGTGTATGTAGTAAGAATAGTGTGTGTGTATGTAGTTAAGAATAGTGTGTGTGTGTATGTAGTTAAGAATAGTGTGTGTATGTATGTAGTTAAGAATAGTGTGTGTATGTATGTAGAAGAATAGTGTGTGTGTATGTGGTGAAGAATAGTGTGTGTGTGTGTGTGTATGTAGTGAAGAATAGTGTGTGTGTGTATGTAGTTAAAATAGTGTGTATGTAGGTGAAGAATAGTGTGTGTATGTATGTAGCTAAGAATAGTGTGTGTGTATGTAGAAGAATAGTGTGTGTTATGTATGTAGTGAAGAATAGTGTGTGTATGTAGTTAAGAATAGTGTGTGTATGTATGTAGTGAAGAATAGTGTGTGTATGTATATACTTAATGTGTGTGTGTGTATGTATATACTTAGAATAGTGTGTGTGTATGTAGTAAAGAATAGTGTGTATGTATGTAGTGAAGAATAGTGTGTGTGTGTATGTATGTAGTGAAGAGTGTTATGTATGAGAATAGTGGTGTGTGTGTATGTATGTAGTTAAGAATAGTGTGTGTATGTATGTGGTGAAGAATAGTGTGTGTATGTATATACTTAAGAATAGTGTGTATGTAGTGAAGAATAGTGTGTATGTATACTAAGAATAGTGTGTGTGTGTATGTAGTGAAGAATAGTGTGTATGTATGTAGTGAAGAATAGTGTGTGTGTGTATGTATGTAGTTAAGAATAGTGTGTGTATGTATGTAATCTAGTGGAGGAGGATGGGTAAAACATAACATACTGTATTAGTCTTGGAAACTAACAGCAGGTGAGAAGATAGTGATGAATAGGGTAGTCGCAGGGGTCATTAACACAACTAATTATCCTCCTTCAGGTGTATTTCCTCCCCCCACAGGTGTAGTGTAGTTCCTCTTTCAGGTTGTAGCTCTTTTTTCCGCAGGTGTAGTGTAGTTCCTCCTCCCGCAGGTGTAGTGTACAGGGGTAGTTCCTCTCGCAGGTGTAGTGTGGTTCCTCCTCCCGCAGGTGTAGTGTAGTTCCTCCTCCCGCAGGTGTAGTGTCGTTCCTCCTTCCGCAGGTGTAGTGTAGTTCTTCCTTCCGCAGGTGGAGTGTAGTTCATCCTCCCGCAGGAGAGTGTAGTTCCTCCCGCAGGTGTAGTGTAGTTCCTTCTCCTGCAGGTGTAGTGTAGTATCTCCTTCAGGTGTAGTTCCTCCTGCAGGTGTTGTTCCTCCTCCAAGTGCTGTTCAACCTCCTGCAGATGTCGTGTAATATCTTCAGGTGTAGTTCCTCCTTCAAGTACTGTTCCTCCTCCCGCAGGTGGTCCTCTAATGTCACCATAGAGCCCGAGGAGAAGCCCTTGGTTGCGGGTCGTCGCGCCAACCTGGATTGCACTGTCATAGGAAGTAACCCGCCGCCCCAAGTCACGTGGTACCAACAGGGGCAGGAGGTGGAGCCCTTACGTACTGAGGTGAGTTGTTTTGGTCCAGGTGTAAGGTGGTTCGGGTGTAAGGTGGTCCAGGTGTAAGGTGGTCCAGGTGTTACGTGGTCCAAGTGTAAGGTGGTCCAGGTGTAAGGTGGTCCAGGTGTAAGGTGGTTCAGGTTTACGTGGTCCAGGTGTAAGGTGGTCCAGGTGTAAGGTGTCCAGGTGTAAGGTGGTTCAGCTTTACGTGGTCCAGGTGGAAGGTGGTCCAGGTGTAAGGTGGTTCAGGTGTTACGTGGTCCAGGTGGAAGGTGGTCCAGGTGTAAGGTATCCAGGTGTAAGGTGGTCCAGGTGTTAGGTGGTCCAGGTGTAAGGTGGTCTAGCAGTATGTGGTCCAGGTGTGAAGGTGGTCCGTGTGTTACGTGGTCCAGGTGGAAGGTGGTCCAGGTGTTACGTGGTCCAGGTGTAAGGTGGTCCAGGTGTTACGTGTGGTCCAGGTGTAAGGTGGTCCAGGTGTGAGGTGGTTCAGGTGTTTTTAGTTTTGTTGTTGTTTATCATTGTTTTCTCTCTTGGTGTGTGTGTGTGTGTGTGTGTGTGTGTGTGTGTGTGTGTGTGTGTGTGTGTGTGTGTGTGTGTGTGTGATACAGTATATAACACTTATATGACAATTATGACACCTGTATGACACCTGAATGACACCTGTATGAAACCATGACACCCTGTACTCTCTAAGCTACAGTCAGGGGGCGGAACAAGGAAACACGACATTGACCTCAACCGTAAGAAGGAAACGGACACGAGAGATAAATATGAGAGAGAGAGAGAGGAGAGAGAGAGGGGGAAGGAGGAGGAAAGGGTACAGGATAAATCACTTCTTTCTCTCTCTCTCTCTCCCACCGCACTTATAGTACAAGGGCTGGTCACCTGCCCCCTCCCTCTCTCTCTCACCGCTCATTATAGTACAAGGAATGGCCCCCTCCTTCTCTTTCTCACGACATTATAGTACAAGGGCTGTCACCTGCCCCCTCTCTCTCACCGCACATTATAGTACAAGGATGGTCACCTGCCCTCCTCTCTCACCGCACATTATAGTACAAGGGCTGGTCACCTGCCCCTCTCTCACCGAACATTATAGTCGGATGGTCACAGGCTGGTCACCTGCCCCCTCTCTCACTGCACATTAGAGTACAAGGGATGGTCACCTGCCCCCCCCTCTCTCTCACCGCACATTATAGTACAAGGGCTGGCTGCTACGCCCCCCCCTCTCTCACCGCACATTATAGTACAAGGGATGGTCACCTGCCCCCTCTCTCTCTCTCTCTCACCGCACATTATAGTACAAGGAATGGTCACCTGCCCCCCCTCCCTCACCGCACATTATAGTACAAGGGATGGTCACCTGCCCCCCCTCTCTCTCTCACTGCACATTATAGTACAAGGATGGTCACCTGCCCCGCCCCCCCCTCTCTCTCACCGCACATTATGTACAAGGATGGTCACCTGCCCCCCCTCTCTCACTGCACATTATAGTACAAGGATGGTCACCCCCCTCTCTATCTCTCACTGAACATTATAGTACAAGGATGGTCACCTGCACTCTCTCTCACAGCACATATAGTACAAGGATGGTCACCTGCCCCCTCTCTCTCTCACTGCACATTATAGTAGTCACTCTATCTCTCCGAACATATAGTACAAGGGATGGTCACCTGCCCCCTCTCTCTCTCTCTCACTGCACATTATAGCAAGGATGGTCACCTGCCCCCTCTCTCTCTCTCTCACAGTACATGGGATGGTCACCTCCCCCCTCTCTCTCTCTCACCGCACACATGTACAAGGATGTCACCTCTCTCTCTCTCACGCACATTATAGCAAGGGCTGGGCCCCTGCCTCTCTCTCACAGCACATTATAGTACAAGGGATGATCACCTGCCCTCTCTCTCTCACAGCACATTATAGTACAAAGTGGTCACCTCTCTTACATTATAGGCCAAGGATGGTCACCTGCCCCCCTCTCTCTCTCTCTCACTGCACATTATAGTACAAGGGATGGTCACCTGCCCCCCCCTCTCTCTCTCACACATTATAGTACAAGGGATGGTCACCTCCCCCCCCATCTCTCTCTCTCTCTCACTGCACACAGTCAAGGGATGGTCACCTGCCCTGCTCCTCTCACAGCACATTATAGTACAAGGGATGGTCACCTGCCCCCCTCTCTCTCTCTCACTGCACATTATAGTACAAGGGATGGTCACCTGCCCCCCTCTCTCTCTCTCTCACAGCACATTATAGTACAAGGATGGTCACCTCCCCCCATCTCTCTCTCACCTGCACATTATAGTACAAGGGATGGTCACCCGCCCCCTCTCTCTCTCTCTCATACACATTATAGTACAAGGGATGGTCACCTGCCCCCCCTCTCTCTCTCTCACAGCACATATAGTACAAGGGATGGTCACCTGCCCCCCTCTCTCTCTCTCTCTCACAGCATTTATAGTACAAGGGATGGTCACCTGCCCCCCTCTCTCTCTCTCACTGCACATTATAGTACAAGGGTTGGTCACCTGCCCCCCTCTCTCTCTCTCTCTCGCACATTATAGTACAAGGGATGGTCACCTGCCCCCCCTCTCTCTCTCTCACAGCACATTATAGTACAAGGGTTGTCACCTGCCCCCTCTCTCTCACTGCACATTATAGTACAAGGGATGGTCACCCGCCTCCCTCTCTCACACATTATAGTACAAGGGATGGTCACCTGCCCCCCTCTCTCTCTCTCACCGCACAATAGTACAAGGGATGGTCACCTGCCCCCTCTCTCTCTCTCACAGCATTATAGTGGATGGTCACCCCCCCTCTCTCTCTCTCACCGCACATTATAGTACAAGGATGGTCACCTGCCCGCCCTCTCTCTCTCACAGCACATTATAGTACAAGGATGGTCACCTGTCTCTCTCTCACCGCACATTATAAGGATGGTCACCTGCCCCCTCACAGCATTATAGTACAAGGGATGGTCACCTCCCCCCATCTCTCTCTCACTTACACACAGGATTGGCGCCTGCTCCCCTCTCTCTCTCTCTCACAGCACATTATAGTACAAGGGATGGTCACCTGCCCCCCTCTCTCTCTCTCTCACAGCACATTATAGTACAAGGATGGTCACCTGCCCCTCCCCCTCTCTCTCTCACAGCACATTATAGTACAAGGATGGTCACCTCCCCCCTCTCTCTCTCTCTCTCACTGCACATTATAGTACAAGGATGGTCACCTGCCCCCTCTCTCTCTCTCTCTCTCACAGCACATTATAGTACAAGGGATGGTCACCTGCCCCCTCTCTCTCTCTCTCACGCACATTATAGTACAAGGGATGGTCACCTGCCCTCTCTCTCTCACAGCACATTATAAGGATGGTCACCTGCCCCCCCTCTCTCTCTCTCTCACTGCACATTATAGTACAAGGGATGGTCACCTGCCCCCCCTCTCTCTCTCTCTCCTTCAGCACATAGTACAAGGGATGGTCACCTGCCCCCCTCTCTCTCTCTCTCTCACAGCACATTATAGTACAAGGATGCCACCTCTCTCTCACAGCACATTATAGTACAAGGTTCACCTGCCCCCTCTCTCTCTCACAGCACATTATAGTACAAGGATGGTCACCTGCCCCCCCTCTCTCTCTGCACATTATAGTACAAGGTTGGTCACCTGCCCCCTCTCTCTCACAGCACATTATAGCATGAGATGTCACCTGCCCCCCTCTCTCTCTCACAGCACATTATAGTACAAGGATGGTCACCTGCCCCCCCTCTCTCTCTCACAGCACATTAGTACAAGGGATGGTCACCTGCCCCCTCTCTCACAGCATTGAGACATATCACCTGCCCCCTCTCTCCTCACAGCACATTATAGTACAAGGATGTCACCTGCCTCTCTCTCTCCTCACTGCACATTATAGAAGGGATGGTCACCTGCCTCCCTCTCTCACAGCACATTATAGTACAAGGATGGTCACCTGTCTCCCCACACACATTATGTACAGGATGGTCCCTGCCCCCTCCTCTCTTTGACATTATAGAGGGTCACCTGCCCCCTCTCTCTCTCTCTCTCTCTTCTCGCACATTATAGTACAAGGATGGTCACCTGCCCCCCTCTCTCTCTCTCTCTCACAGCACATTATAGTACAAGGATGGTCACCTGCCCCCCCTCTCTCTCTCACTGCAGCACATAGTACAAGGGATGGTCACCTGCCCCTCCCTCTCTCTCTCTCACAGCACATTATAGTAGTGCGGATGGTCACCTGCCCCCTCCCCTCTCTCCTCACAGCACATTATAGTACAAGGGTTGGTCACCTGTCTCTCTCTCACTGCATTATTATAGTACAAGGATGGTCACCTGCCCCCCCTCTCCTCACAGCATTATAGTACAAGGGATGGTCACCTGCCCTCCCTCTCTCTCTCTCTCTACAGCACATTATAGTACAAGGATGGTCACTGCTCCCTCCCTCTCTCACTGCACATTATAGTACAAGGGATGGTCACCTGCCCCCCTCTCTCACTGCACATATTAGTACAGGGGATGGTCACCTGCCCCCCCCTCTCACAGCACATTATAGTACAAGGATGGTCACCTGCCCCCCTCTCTCACTGCACATTAGAGTACAAGGGCTCACCTGCCCCCCTCTCTCTTTTATCTCACTGCACGTTATGTACAAGGGCTGGTCACCTGCCCACCCACTTCAATATCACACTGCCTGTTATAGTACAAGGGTCACCTACCTCCCAGCTCTATATCACACCGCACGTTATAGTACAAGGGCTGGTCACCCCCCCTCTCTCTCTCACTGCTCATTATAGCAAGGCTGGCCACCTACCCCCCCCTCTCTCATTATAGTACAGGGCTGGCCACCTACCTCCCAGCTCTATATCACACCGCACGTTATAGTACAAGGCTGGTCATCTCACTGCTCATTATAGCAGGGCTGGTCACCTGTCCCCCTCTCTATCTCTCTCACCACTGCACATTATAGTACAGGCTGGTCACCTACCCCCACC